CTGTTGATACGTTTACTTTCAACCCATTTATCCCCAAACTCATCAACGATAGATTTATCGAACGATATTTCAATACACCAATCTCTATGGACACGATACGATATAACCTATATCACCCGGTAAATTAATAACTTACTTTTTGCTTGCCGCTATACCGCCACAACAATTGCTCTCATAGAATTAGGCAATTTTGTTTCAAAGACCTTGAGATATGACCTTATTTTTTACCCAAGGCACATTACAACCCTTGAAAGTCCTTGTGATTTATGCTTTTATGCTTTCAACATGATATTTTTTTGGATGAACACATAATTTAATCAAGACGTTAACGAGATTGTTGGGTGAAAGTCAAGTCCCTCATTTTGTTCTTCATCCTTTGATGAAGTTGTATGCTATATGTGAATCATGTTTGAACATGTATTGTCTTATAATTTCTAACACGTGTTTTGTGCTTAGAATTTATTTCATGAGCAGGGTGTCATTGTAGTATAGTGGTAACCATTAATTTGTTTGTGCTTTTAAGTTTGAACCATGCATTTATTTTCTTTTCTCAAAGCTTTTTGATTCTTAATTTCTTGGTGGTTGCTTTTGTTTCTTTAGGTTTGTTAGATTCTTGTTTGAGGACAAACAAAGTTCTAAGTTGGGGAGAGTTTGATAATTGCCAAATTATGGTGAATTTATGCACGAGAAAGTGGCACTTATTAGCTTGATTAATTGTATTTACAAGTCAAAACCTCAATTTTTATATAAATATGTTTAGTTTGATCTTTTTCACTTCATTTTATAGGTTTGTGTGCATTGGAGGAGCTTTGAGCACCAAAAGGCAAATAATTGACTTCAATTATATTTTGGAGAAAATTGTGCAGATTGGACTAAGCCCCAAAATTATTTGCTTAGCCCACCTGACTAAGCTTAGCACCCTTGTAGCGCGTTTAGAGATGTTGCTAGTAGAGGATTTTGTTCTTAACATCACATTTTCTGCTTAGCGCGGTCACCTATTTTCTGTTTTTCTATAAATAGATTCCAGCGGTCATTTTGTGCCATAGACCCCAAAAACTCACCCAAGAGAGATCCAAAACACCAAGAACACATTTTGGAGACCTGGAGGCTTAGAAAAAAACAAGAGAAATGCATCTTAAAGATCAAGAGCTGGGATTGCATCGATCATTGGGACATAATGATTAAGGCTTGTTCATCTTCTTTCTTCTCTTTGTATTAGCTATTATGAGTGACTAAATCCCTTTCTTGTTGGGATTGGAGGTAAGTCTACTGTTTTAGAATGTATTTTTGTTAATCATGGTGTTGTATACAATCTATTTATAAATCTATGTCAATGTTATCTTTGTTTTAATTTTTATCTTAATGCGTTTGAATTGTTATTGAGAAATACAGTTCGAAACCCGAACTAAGATGAACATTTGTTAGTTCTAAACTCTAGACATAAATTTAGGCTAACATTCACAGAGAGTATCAAATCTTAATTCCCTTTGTTGTTTAATTGGTTGAGAGATCGTAGATTAAACAATAAGGTAGGAACCGTTTAATAGGCTGGGAGATCGTCAATTAAAAGGTTAAAATATCATCAAATGTTTAGACATAAATGCTGTTGCGAGCGATACATGATGATATTGATGAATGTTTAGATTATGTACAACTGATTGGTAAAAATTTCATATTATATTGGTAGATGAAATTCAATCCTGACAAGTTCTCTTCTCTCTGAAACTTTACTTTTCATTCGCTCGTTTTACCTTAAACTTCCAAACACTTTTCAAACTTAAGTTTAAAATCATAGTGACTGCTGAATGACATTGATATCACACTAATCCTTGTGGAGACGATAAAACAAATCTTACACTTTTGATTACTACTATTCCCAACATCAACGATGACGACTAGTGCATGATTTTTAATCTTTTGATAACGAGCTTAGGCGCCTCTAAACACCTTATTTACAAAATACACACGCATATCTATCTTTTCTCTCTCTTGGACATGCAGTGAGCTCTTTGCTTGATGAGTAACTGAAAGATAGAAGAGCAATAAAGACTCATTCCTTGGGAGAGTGACAACGGGGAGCCATGTAAGAAGGCTTTGACCATGATGAAAGTCTTTTCGCACTCGACAGTCCATTCAAATATTTATTTCTTCTTCAAGGCGGTGAAGAAAAGGAAAGCCTCATCGGTCGCGCACGAGATGAAGCGTCATAGGACATCTAGGTGATTCGTAAGTTGTTGTACTTCCTTGACATTGGTGGGGTTTCTCATGTCGACGACTTCTTGAAATTTATCCGGATTGGTCTCAATGCCTCTTCTCAACAGTATGAACCCTAGGAATTTCCGGACATGAACCTTGAAAGAACATTTTGTAAGATTCAGGTGCATCTCACATTTCCTGTTTGACTGCAGAACATCTGCTAAATCCTCTGGATGGATGTGCTCTTCACTAACATGTTTTTTGAAGGGCGCATATAGGATGAAACCTAGAGGCCTCAACTATGCATCCATGAAGCTCAACATACAGTAGCCTGAAGACCCATAAAAAAGGAGATCAATATCCGATAGCGAGTATAGATCCTTAGGGATGTCAATGTTCATATTAGTGAAGTATACAAACATGCGTAATATGTTGTCAGCTTTCTGTACTAGAACAATGTTGGCTAGCCTAGAGGAGTATTTTTCTGTGATGAATCTTACTTCTGATAGTTTTCCCATATCTTCATCAATGGTGACTCTCTTCTCCTCGCCAACTTTCTGCTTCCTCCACGCCACTGGTTTGGCTGAAAGGTGGATGGCTAGATGATGGCTCACCACTCTAGTGTCTATCTCGGGCATGTCAGAGGAAGCCTATGAGAAGAAGTTAACATTCTTAATGAGTTGGTAGACCAGCTCCCGTTCTTCCTCCCAGATAGTGGATGGCCTATCTTCGTGACCTGATGGGATAGATGTCCTATATGGACCTCCTTCAAGTCCTTTGTGGGCGTGAGCCTCTATGCTTTTATGCCTAGTATTGGGTCCTAACAATCAAAATCAATATTTAGAACTTCAGACATCAATAAGGGCGAGTTTTTCCCTTTATGTCGCAAGGCTATTTTGGTAGCACTCTTGAGTAATCTGTTGGTTTCCTCGAATTGTACCGACTCGCCCTCCAAGAAAGGGATACTTTAGGCCAAGTACAAGGTGAAAATGAATGCTTCTAGTGCATTGAAGGCGGGTCGCCTAATAATGATGTTGTATAGCAACAAGGCGTCCATAATAAGGTAGCTAACATCAATCTCCTTGGCATCTTCACCCTTGCCACATATGTTCTCTAGGGTTACATGGCCCATCACCTGTACCTATTTGATAAACAACTTTATTAACAAGTAGTTAAAACCTTTAACGTAGTTAGGCTCGAGGTGCAACTTTTGGAAGGGGTCCCAGAACAAGACGTCAACAGAGCTACCAAGATCTATTAAAATCTGCTTGATAACCCAATTACCATGTTGCACAGTAATGGCCCTGGGATCTTAATTGTGAGGACGGACTCCAAGAGTTTCTTCCTCAGAAAAGGTGATGTTCACTTCTGTTTTCCCTAGAGCGCCCCTGGGGAAACTAGGAGATATCATGTTTGCCGCAAGCACCTGTCTGGTGTACTTCCTTTGAAAGGAACTGAAGCTTCCCCCACTAGTTAAACCACTGACAATGGTGTTTGTGTTGTAACGTAGAGTCTTATCGACCATAATCAGGGAGAAGATAGGAAGAGTTAAAGTGAAGGTGTGTTACAAATACCATGGGTTAGGGCTTGCCCGCAATGGCGAGAAGCCCTATACAATGATGTTTTGACAGTGGTTTTGAGGTCCATCTCACGTGAGGTGAGATGCCTTGTTATGAAGCGATAAAATTGTATATGCGTATGATCTATATTCTTAAGTTCTAACTTTTCTCCCTCTAAGAGAGGTATTTTTATAGGTTTCTTGGACCTAGGGTTTTCTTAGAAAGGATCACCACCCACTCAGCCAATGGTGGACAGTTGAATCCATATTTTCAAGAAAAACGTGAGTCAGCTAACAATTATGTCTTTTCTCTGCCCAAGAAAATATCCTATTCCCTGTTTCCCACGCATGGGCGATAGGAAAGCCTTGGGGAGAGGTGATACCTCCCTTTGGGCGATATTATATTGTCACATCTTTTAGAGTGACCTAAAGTCATCGTCCTAAACGAGTCCTTTTATAAATATAATACTACATGTATTGCTTTTCAGGTTCCCCTACCATCCAAAAGATGTGGAAGATAAGAGTATTTTTTGTGGCCCATTCTTCAATAATTTCTTCAATATTTTTAGTAGAAAAATCAAGTTTCTATTTCGAAACATTGAGTTCTTGGCATTTTTCATCTCCCCTTTGGTCTTAGTGAACTCATCTGAAGCAGTCTGACCAAGACGAGAGATGTAGAGAGTATATATTGATATCAACAAATAATTTTTTCCGGACTGAAGTACTTAGAGCTCAAAATATCCCCACTAAACTAGAGAGACCACTTATATAACCCAACACATTAAAATTATTGGCTCACTGTAAAACACCGACCAACTCTAAAGCTATGTTTGAGAGTTTTGAGGGGAGGGGAATAGAGAGCTTCTAAAACTGATTTTTTTTAAAAATATAAAGAAAATTTTAACATTTTTTGAAAAAAAATATTTTGTTTAGAATGATAAAATAATGTTTATCATTAATGTATTTTTAGTTTTTGAAATAATATAACAACAAAAATTATATTTGAACAAATTGATTAAGCCCTCCAAAACTTTTCTCCAATATAAATTTTGAGTTCCTCAAATTAGAGAGTCATTGGTGTTATGAAGAAAAATAAACCCTCCAAAATTTTTCCAAACCAAATATTTTTATTCTTTTCACCCAAATCTTTCTATTTTTCAAAACCCTCTCTTTTCATCCCTCTAAAGTCTCGAACATAGCCTAAAAAACCATCCACTCTCACGTATGCGACTTGTTCCGTTACAACATGAGTCTTTTCATTAGGCACATGGTCATGCTTAACCTTTATGCGTCCCTCACTCTTCCCGCATTGAGGTATCATATCATGTGATATTTTTTAGTGAACAAAGCTAAGGTACGTACGTAGCACTATCACAATTTTAAAACAACACAATTTTGTAAGCTCAAAATAACTGTGTGTTATAGGATGATAAATTCATGAGTATTACTAACTTGTGTCCTTATAGTAAAGGTTAAGAAAGCTGTAAATGAAAAAAAATTGTACTAAAAAAAACAATAAAAAAAATTATTTTAAATTTTTAATAAAATAAATTCACACCTTCCAAAATAAAATTCTACGTTTAGCTTGCATTATCCTAAATTCATAGAGCAAATAATAGAACCGTTATAAAAAATGAATTGATTTAATTTTATTGGGTATTACTAACTTCTTTGCTGTGCCAACTGGATAAGAAGCTACTTATCGACCTCAAATTCTCTAGGTTGGGGCATTGTTAATTTTTTTTCTTCTTTTCGAGAATGCATAGACTGAACATTGAAGCGAATCTCTCAAGTTTTTTATCATTTCACTAATAAGGATAAGGATGCAATAACTTCAAATTGTCCACTTCATATTAAAAAAATGAAATATCTTAGTAAAGTATTTCTGTAATAGTTATCTAATCTATCAACAAAAAGGTGTCTTATGTTTTTCCTTATTCATAGTTGCTATTGGGAAATCAAAATCTTCAATCACAATAAAGATTGATAATGCAGAGGATACCCGCAGTACGGAGGAGGTACTTAAACAGATATTGCAGCATGAAAACTCTGCTGCTGGTGTTTTGTGCCAGATGAAGACTCATCATGGAGCACACGCTTCTCTTTTTACACTAACAAAGGATGTCTTAGGTATTGTTTCTATGTTGGGAAGAGTTGAGGATGACAATCTCAGCAGGTACATTTTGTATGTTTCTTTTTGGCTTGCGATATCATGCACCCTCGTAAGCTTGTAATTGCTTGTATGTTTCTATGGTCTTTGTCACATTATCTTTATGCAAGATGAAATTTTGCTACGTTAATATTGTTGGTGCAAGGTGATGAAATGGGAGAAGAAGAATGAACAATGAATGATAACAAAGAGAACTACTATTGTATATCAAAAGAGGAATGAATGAGTTACAATATTAATAGTCTAGGTAACATATTTATACTACAAATTGAAAATGCCAAAATGCCCTATTAAAGAATAAGCATTGAGAATTGTAGACATTAACTAAATTATATTTCCAATACCATCTCTTAATTTAGATATTTCTATCAGAAGCTAACAACACCAATTTCATATCTCAAGCAAAAAAATTGATTTGTTTTAACTACCTTTGTCAGAAGATCTGCAAGCTGTTTCTGAGTGCTACAATGCAGAACTTCTAACACTCCTTTCTACACTTGACTTCTGAGAAAGTGATACTTCGTCTCAATGTGCTTGCTTCTTCCATGTAGCACTGAATTTTTGACAAGATCAATTGTAGACTTATTATCAATCATCAGCTTCAGAGGTTCCTCAACTTCAACCTTCAGATCATGTAGGAGATTCAGAAGCCAAACAGCTACAACACCTGCGATATACTCAGCTTCACATGTTGACAGAGCCACGACAGGCTGTTTCTTGGAACTCCAGGAAATGGGACCTCCCAGAAATTTAAACAAGTAGCCAGAAGTACTTCTCCTGTCCACTCTGTCTCTGCACCAGTCAGAATCAGAATAACTTACTAATTCTGATTCTGTCTTTCTTTCAGAAGGAAACAATACTCCATATCTCAGAGTTCCCTTAATATATCTCAGAATTCTGACAACAGCTTGGAAATGAGACCACTTTGGATTACTCATGAATCTACTAACCAATCCAACTGCATAACAAATGTCAGGTCTAATATTACATAAATACCTTAGAGAACCAACCAACTGTTTGAAGGTTGTTGAATCAACAGAATCACCATCAGAGTCAGAATCCAATTTTTTATTGATTTCTGATGGTGTCACAGCAATTTTGCAATTCTGCAGCTTAAATCTCTTTAGAAGTTCTTGTTCGTATTTTAACTGATGCAGAATGATACCCTTCTTCGAGTACAAAATCTCCATCCCTAGGAAATATGTCATTTTTCCTAGATCTGTCATCACGAACTCATTCATCAGAACTTCTTTGAACTTCTTTATATCTTCTGGGAAGCTACCTGTTAGCAAAATATCATCAACATAGAGACACACCCGAATCATATTGTTAACATATTGTTGTACTTAAACTCCATATTCCATCTCACACTTCTGAAACCTCTGCTTCTTGAAAAATGAATCAATTTTCAGATTTCAAGCTCTAGGCGCTTGCTTCAGTCCATACAGAGCTTTATTTAACCTGTATACCATCCATTCCTGATTCTTTTTCACAAATCCAAGAGGTTGTGACACATAAACTTCTTCCTGTAATGGACCGTTCAGAAATGCAGACTTCACATCCAGATGTATTAAAGGCCAATTTCTGTTTGCAGCTAAAGTAATTACCAGTCTGATTTTTCATGTCTAGCTACAGGCGCAAACACCTCAAAGTAATCTAGCCAAGGTTTCTGAAGAAAACCTCTAGCTACTAGTCTAGCTTTGTGCTTGCCAATTGAACCATATGGCTTAAGTTTCAACTTAAAAACCCATCTGACGCTGATGGTTTTTTTTTTATCTAGAAGTTTAGTCAATTTCCAAGTTTTGTTCCTTTCTATTGCCTCAAGTTCTTCTTTCATGGCATTAAACCATTCTTTCTTCTTGAGAGCTTCTTCAATGTCCACTGGTTCAGAATCTACTAACATGGCACACTGAACGACTTCTCCTTCAGAGTCAACTTCATTATCCTGCAACATGTCAAAATCTGCAAACCTTCTTGGTTTTTGTCTGATTCTCTGTGGTCTTTGAGCTTGTTCTGAAACTGCACCAGAACTACTACTTTCAGAGTTACCACCTTCAGAGTTTTCCCTTCTAGAACTATGATTACCACCAGATTCTGGATCATCATCAGCATCTAGATCAGAATCAGATCCATTTCCTGAATCTTCTTCTGACTCATCTTCAAAATCTTCAGGATCAGATTCATCTTCTGAACTTTCTAAAACATCTTCAGAGGCTAACTCTGGTGTTGGTATTACACCAGAATCTGATTGAGATTTGTTCCAATCCCATGCTTCAGACTCTTTTACCACAACGTCTCTGCTAACTTCAACTTTATTAGTTTCTGGATAATAAAGCTTATACGCACCTGTACTGTGGTACCCCACCAGCAACATTACTTTGCTTCTATCATCCAGTTTTTTTCTTCTAGCTTCTGAAACGTGTTTGTAACAGACAGAGCCAAACACCTTCAGATGACTGACACTCTTCTTATCTCCAGTCCATTTCTCTAAAGGAACAACTTCCTTCAGTTTCTTCATTGGACACCTGTTCAGAATATATGCTGATGTGGAAACAGCTTCTTCCCATAGCACGTGAGGTAGCTTTTTCTATTTCAGCATGCTTCTGGTCATATCAAGCAAAGTTCTGTTTCTTCTTTCAGCAAGTCCGTTGTGCTGAGGAGTATATGGAGCAGTAACCTCATGTTCTATTCCACTCTCCTCACAGAACTTCTAAAACACTGTAGAGTTATACTCACCTCCACCATCTGTTCTCAGAATTTTTAACTTCTGACCACTCTGCTTCTCAGCCTTCACTTTGAATTTCTGGAACTCAGTAAACACTTCATGCTTGAACTTGATGAGTGTTATCCATGTCATTCTTGTGAACTCATCCACAAAAGACACAAAATAATTGTTTCCTCCAAGTGAAGGTACTGGAAATGGTCCACACACATCAGAATGTACTACTCCCAGAGCATGCTTTGCTCTGAGGTCTACTTCTGATGTAAATGGCAATCTAGGTTGCTTGTCTTTCATGCATATCTCACATGACTTCTCAGGCTTCACAATCTTCAAAATAACATGTACAAGCTTCTTAAAACATAGATGCCCTAAGCTTCTATAGTTCAAATGGCCTAACCTTTTATGCCACAACTTACTGTTAGCTTCAGAGCCTTCTGCACTAAGGCACGTTGCTTCAGCTGTTTCTACATTTACCTCGAATGTTCTGTTGCCTCCTTGTTTAGACTTCATAATTAACTTCTGATTGGAATCATACAACGTCAGAAGATTGTTTTTCATAACAACTGAGAAACCTTTCTCAATCAGCTGACCTACGCTCATCAGATTGCTTCTAATACCAGGAACATACCAAACGTCTTTGATCAAAATGTCTTTCCCATTCTTCACTCTAACTCTAACATCTCCCATACCTTCTGCATGAAGATACTTATCATCAACAGATATGATCTTTGTTCTCCTTCTGGAGTTAAAGTCTGTCAGCCATTGTTTGTTTCCAGTCAAATAATTTGAACAACCAGTGTCCACATACCACCAATCTTCTGAGCATTTTCCATCAGAATCAGAAGCCATTAGTAGTACAGGTTCATCATCAGAGTTTCTCTTAGCCATATATGCTTCTTCTGATTTCCTTTCCTTGTTTGACCTACAATCTCTGGCAAAATGGCCAAATTGTTTACAAGAGTAACATTGAACCTTCCTTTTGTCATACCTCTCCTTTCCTTTATGATATTTCTTATCATCAGAAGTTGAGGCTTCTGACTTCTGGAATCTATCACCACGTCTATTCTGCTTCTGGTCTTTCTTGACAAAAGAAGCCTTCAGAGCTTGCTCAGCTTCCCTCTCAGAAGTCCTCTCAGACAGACGTAACTCCTGTGCTTCTAAGCTGCTTTGCAATTCTTCTATTCTCATGGTTTCCAGATCTTTAGAATTTTCAATTTAAACAACAATGTAATCAAACTGAGGAGTAAACGACCTCAGAATGTTCTCTATGATTACCTGTTCAGACAGAGTTTCTCCACACGCCTTTATCTCGTTAGTGATCGGAATCACTCTGGAGATATATTCAGAAACTTTACCACTGCTCTTCATGTTCAGGTTCTCATATTGCTTTCGTAGGGATTGAAGTTTCACCTTCTTTACTAATGCGTCACCACCGTAACATCTCACCAGTAAATCACACGCCCCTTTTGACGTTGTTGAATCAATAATCTTCTCGAACACACTTTCATCCACACACTGATGGATATAAAACAGAGCTTTCTGGTCCCTCTTCCTCATCATCCTCTCATCAGTTCTCTGTTCTTCAGTTGCATCTGCTGCAGCTGGTACATAACCATCTTTAACCAGATCCAGAACATCTTGTGCACCAAACAGCACACGCATTTGTATCATCCATATATTCCAGTTTTGTCATTAAAAACTGGAAGTTTGGTGTTCAAACTACTGTCTCCACTCATTTTAAACCTTGCACGAATTTCCAGATCTTCAAACACACAGTTTCCCAACCCACATAATCAAATTCTGTTCAGATTTTGTTCAAGATTTCAACAGAAAAAACAATGAACCAAAATCAAACACACAGCTCACAAACACTCGTGTTTCCCAGGAAAAACAAAACCAAGAACTCTGATACCAATTTGTTGGTGCAAGGTAATGAAAGGGGAGAAGAAGAATGAGCAATGAGTGATAACAAAGAAGACTACTATTGTATATCAAAAGAGGAATGAATGAGTTAAAATATTGATAGCTCAGGTAGCATATTTATACTATAAATTGAAAATGTGAAAAAACCCTATTAAAGAATAAGTATTAAGAATTGTAGACATTAACTAAATTATATTTTCAATAAATATTGATGAAATGTAAGCATACATGAGGATAGTTTTCACTCAACTTATTTGGAATGCAGACTTTTCTCAGAGTATCTTGGAGTTGAGACTATGTTGGCGATTGTTTGTACAACTTATGAAGGAGTTAAAGCTATCGAAATGTATGACAAGGAAGGCTGCATAGATAAAAGTAGGGGTCTTTATGAGCTAGGTGCAACTATTGGGAGGTCTTTGGACGGTCGTTTTTTAGTCATATGTCTTGAATCTCTATGGTACGACTACAAGAATCTGGTTTGTCTTTTATTTGTGATTGTTGATAAATATGTGTTTTAAAACTTTTTTTTTTTTTTTACTTTTTGTTTTAGGCCTTATGCCTGTAAATTCGTGGTTGATGATCCACACAGGAAATTGGACATTTTAAATCCAAGGTTGCCCAGTGGGGAGTGTCCGGCTGGATTTCTTGGGTTTGCTGTTAATATGATTGATATAGACACTGTGAACCTATTTTGTGTAACTCCGAATGGTTTTGGCCTCAGAGAAACTCTGTTTTATAGTCTCTTTTCTCGGCTACAAGTATATAAGACTGGGTCTGAAATGATGCAAGCACTTCCTTTCATAACCGACGGAGCTCTTTCTTTAGACGGAGGAATGATTAGGAGTTGTGGAGTATTTTCCTTAGGCAAAAGGTAAGATTTCATATGTTCTGAAAATTATGGGGCTAAAAAAGAGTACAATCATCAAATATGTGAACTGAAAAAAAACTAACTATTGGAGCTTGCAGGCAAGATGTTAATGTGAGATTCCCCAGACCAGAAAGATCATCTGGACTTGATGAGCAAGTTGAAATTGAGAAGCAAATGAAGGTAGCCGAGTGGAAGAAGGAACAAAATTTGGAGGGAAATGACATTGTTGGACATAGCGAAGCACAATTTCAACAAAAAAAAAGAGTGATTTTCTTATGTATTTGGCTTCAAGTTCATCAATTGCAACTACTCAGGTCATTGACTATTATTGATTGATCAACAATTGAATTTTATACTGATGTCCAGCTTGTTGTTATAGATCTTTGTTAGAGTATTTTTTCTTTCTGTTTTTTGGAAGTTTTTAGGTTCTTTTATTCTGCTCCATCATTCCACTCTATTTTATTATGTTCCATTCATCCGAGGTATACATTCCAAATTCCAAATCAGTTGGAATGAAAACAAAATTGGATGGCATATATATGATGAAATTTCAAATCTAAATAATGAAATATATGATTGTTTACTAGTCCGTTTAATTTAAGATATGAATCAAAATTATTTTAATTACCATCATATTCCATTCGACTAAAAATTAAAATGATTAATAAGTTATCAATTTTTTTATCCATAAAAAAAAACTTTTCTGTGAATGAGAAATTTGTCTAATTAATAAGTTGAATTATAACGGACGATTCTTCAATCCTGCAAGAATAAAAGAAAAAAAATTGATGCATCAAATTTGTGTTGTACGGTGAAATAAGGAAAACATTATTCTACAACAACATTAACTATGAGTGTGTCCCATTATCCTAATTCAACTACAACCTATTTTGGTAAGTGTTCTATTGTGGTACCAGAAGTAGAATGAGGATTACTGATAATAGTGGATTTGAGCTTCTAATATAATAAGAAGAGGATTGATCTGTAAAGTTAGCACTCCAACGCTCAAATCAGTATGTGAAGATGAATGAATTGAAATTGAATAGTTGAACTAACACATTTTCTATATATAGTTGAGAGGAAATAACAATATGATATTTGTCACAACATCTTGACCAACTGTCATGACAAGTTCTGCTATCATGTATTCAAACAGATGTTAAACCAGATGTCTTGACATCTTGGTCAACTATACAACAGGTTCTGCTGTTATGTTTCTTGACAAGTTTGATTTGATTTTGTGAGATCCTATCGGATATATATCTCACTGATTTTTGAAGGTAGAGAAAACACAAGAAAAGGGGGTTTGAATTGGGTTTTCAAAATTTTTCCCTTTTGAAAAACTATTTGATAAAACTATGAAAGAATATCGAATACTAGAAATATAAAGAGACACATTCAGTTTATCCAAGTTCACCTTCAACAAGGCTACATCTTGTCCACCCTCCTCGGATGATTTTGCCTTCAACAAGGACTTAATTCACTAATCTTAACATATTGCAGATGCACAAGCTATCCGCCGGTGACTAACAACAACAATGATTAAAATGATCACTGACCCCTCAAGGATTCTGACCTACCCGGTGTTAGCTCCTAAATTCGACACCTACAACAAGTTGGCCTTATGGGCCAAAAATAGATTGAATAAGTCTAAGTTGGAAAAGTTTCGACAAAGTAGAAAAGTACTTAGACAAATTTTAAGTTAAATTGAGTCTTCGACCAGAAGGTTCTCAATCCCTTCGACTGAAGAGACTCCAAGGTCTTCGACCAGAAGGGAACTTCATATCTGCCCCATAAGATTTTGAATCTGAAGAAAGGAGGGAAAAGCAGTTCGCTTGACAGTTGAGGAAAGCAACGTGGCGTGAAAATAGGGGTCGAAGCACATGTAGAAGACACTTGTCTTCATCCTAGAGAAAAACAACTTCTCGATAATTACCTAATTTTAGTATAAATATAGGAAGTTTATGTAGATTTCCGGGTGTTCAACTGATCGTACAAATTATTCAATACTATTCAAGTACCCGCTGCGTGAGAAAGAATACTGAAAAATGTACGTTTGAAACACCACATTTACAATCAAAGTATTTTATTCCTCTCTTTACATTTCTTGCCTTTTTATCTTGTTTATACTTTATATGCACTTTTACCCAGATTCCTGTACCTAAACTCTCCTCGACCCCTTTGTTCTATTTACTTTCTGCACTCAAACTCATCCCTTTCCCAGTCGAACGTGCGCTCTTCACCCACATTAACGTTTATGTCCAAACAACATCACAAATTAGCATATGTCCTAGATCAAACTGATCGATCCTGCGAGTAACCAAAAAGTTACCCTTTTTTGGAAGATCAACGATTATTTACCAGAAAACACGGTGAACAAATTGACACACCCGGTGGGACGTTGCTAATTACTTTTGTTTTATTTATTTTGTCTTCCGTTTTGTTTATTAATCTTAATATAAATGCTTCACATGATTTTCTTTCTTTTACAAAGTTTTGCATGCTATTCAGAAGAGGTAAAATAACCACCAACGAGTGTACAACTAGAAAGAGAAATAGTGAAAGCAATATGGCTAATCAGCCAAATAATGGAGAGATACCTCCACCAATTACTACGGGAACAACGGTAATACCAACCGTTAGTGAAATTGTCTCGTCAACTGTCAGTTCGATACTGTAGTGGTAGAAATGATTAAGACTAAGCCATGGGATTGACTAGACTTGTACAAATCAAAATAAAATCGCCACCATGCTTTATTGTTTCCAAAGGAATGGGAAAAGAGCGAATAATCCAAAAAGAGGGGGAAAGATTCAAGGTAAGGGGGTTGGTTATGTAAAGGGAAGGTATTAACACCTTAAACATCTACAGTACTCTGCAGGAACCTCTTTGTAAAATCTGTATATTTTGGCTATGAAATATTGTGTAAAAAATGAATGGTGGAGGTGAGAAAAGAAATATATTTTTATGATTTTTGCACCTGCCGCGGTTGCGAACCTTTAGTGCCTACGTACCATCTTTTCGTGCAATAGGGGATCAGGGTACACGTAGTTCCTCTTTAAAAATTTTAAAATGTAAGTGTGTTGGTTAATATTTATGAGATAAAACATCATCGTCATTGTCCGTGTGGAAAACATACCTACTACCCACAATCATGAGAAAGGAGAATTTGCATCATCTCAAAACGGAGGATATGGCTTGGATTTTAAAATCAACAATGCCTCACTCAACACCCAAGTGGAAAATATCTCTCTTCACTATATATTATAGAAGTATAGTTGTTTGCATCACTACAAGGATTGACAAAAGTTTAATCTTTTGAAAAAGGTTTTAAAATAAGAAAGGCAAAGTGGCAAAAAATGATTTGAAATGAGATTGATTGACTTTTAGTCTTCTCACAAAAAAATAATGTCAAAATATTATTAAGTTGATTGAAGTTTATTCATGAAAATGTTTTTGAAAATGCATGGACCTAAGTCCAAGTTTATTATGAAAGTGGTTCAAGTTTCAAAACAATAGGAGTTTTCAAAAGGAGGAAGAAGATTTTTGAAATTAAAGAAGATGAGAGGAGAAGAAGAGACTATCCTAAAGCATAAGGTAAAAGCTAGGGATATGAACCATCTAACTAACAAGAAGCCAATACTTGACATTATGAGCCAAGATATAATTCTCATTCTTTGGGTTGAAACCAAGCAAGCAAAGATACTAGACCTCTTGAAAGAACCAAACTTCAAGTGTATTAAGTCTTCACAAAAATTGGACAGAGTAACAGCTGTATACGGGTGAATTCCAAATTACAAACAAAGAATGTAATCACAATAACCTGCACACAAAACAAACAAACAACCCAATGTACCTCAAGAACTCTAGACAAAATATCAATTAATGTTACAAAGTCTCCAACATAGGCCAAGGTTTCTAATCCTAAGTCCAAGAAGTCCCATACTTCCTAATGCCAAGGATAGTAACCAAATAGTCCAAGTATCATTAAAGTTTTTATGGTTTATGTTGATTATTAGGTGTCTTATAAGAAAAAAGAAAAGGCTCAAGTGAGCAAATATGAAGATAGCATGAAATGTAATGCTTAAAGTAAATGGTGCATAAAGCATAAAAAAATAAAATAAAAGGGCATAAAGTAACAACAAATGATAAAATCAATTATTAGTGATTAGTGGTTAGTTGGATGATCATCTTGAAACTTGTATTTGGAACTCATTAGAGGATTGGTAAAACCAAAGCCTCCACACAATAAGTTGCATTTACTTTTTGTCAAGTATATCATCCATTTGGGATCCTCAAAAGTACCATTTAATGATCAACGATGTTTAAGTGATCCGCGTTGACCAAAAGTGTTGTAGATCCATTAGAGGATTGGTAGAACCAAAGCCTTCACACAATGAATCTCAAGGTTATTGGATCAAAGAGATCAAATTAACATACTTGGGCTTGCAATTATAGGTTTGGGCCACAAATGATCATTTATTCGAATCGGGACAAAATTTAGCTCTACGTTAAGCAATCGTAAGTGGACTTACGTAGAAGTCACACATATTTTGAGGTCGGTCAATAGCAATCTATGCACCATTTTTTTGAGACATGATATAGAGATCATGCTCCAATAACACTTAGTGCAATAAGAAAGGGATGACATGGAGAGCGGTGGAGAAGAATATACAAACCACATTTAAATTAAAATTTAATCAAACTATTATTAAAATCATTCATCCATTTTTATGGAGTTAAACTCAACACCATGGATCCAATGATGTTAATAAAGTTCATGATAAAAAATTCAACCCAAGATTAGCCAGAAAATAATCACAAAATAATATTGCATTTTAATATATACATTAAAAAAGGTTTTAGAAATATTTAAAATAGAAATAAGGGATAAAAATATAAACTATGTTCAAATTAATCAAGAAATAAAAAGTAAGACCATAGAAAAATCAGAAATAGACTCAAATATTTTTATAATTTTTTGGTAATTTTTTAAAGTCAGAAATTATTTTTAAAATTAAAAGAAATGAATAAAATAAACCAAAAATGATAAAAATACCAAAGTCATAAATAAAAAATAAGTGAGGTCACCAATATTTGTCACAATATCATTGGATCATTCCATATTTTTTTTTCCAGAATTTAAAAATGCATAAAAGTATTTTTAAACATTTAAAACAAATCAAATAAAGTGAAAATTTATAAAAAAATACCAAAACACAAAATAAAATTGTAAAAAAATAAAAATCAGAAAGAGAAAAATCAAAAATATTTTTCATAATTTTTTCAGATTTTTTGGACTAAATGAATTTTCTATGACTTTTTGAAATTTAAAACA